TCACTTAGTGACAGGGATACATTCTGAGAAATGCATCATTAGGTGATTTCATCATCGTGTGAAAATCGTCGAGAGTACTTACACAAAACTAGATGGGATAGCCTACTGCACACCCGGGATGTATGGTACTAATCTTATGGGACCACTGTCATATGTGGTCCATTGTTGACCAAAATGTCATTTTGCGGTGCATGGCTGTATTATTACTGAGTTTTATAGATGGAAAAACTGATACAGGGAGTTTAAAATGACTTTCCAAGGTCACAGAGGATTTCATTACAGTTTTGCTGGGCTCCAAAGACCTTAGTCTGACCTTTATCCCATGCTGAATAAGGGGAAGGCCTAGTAAAAAAGTTCCTTTATTTTGGCTCAGTTTCCTCTTCAAAAAATGAGAAGGTTGCTCCTCAAGATGACTTAGGAGCTATTAAAGGGCAAAGGTAAGCCAAATAGGTGCTCCCTTCCCCTCTGGTAGGTATCTGTTCATGCCTATTTTATATGTTAGACCTCCAGGAGAGATTTTGTTTGATGCAAAGGATTCTGCTGCCACAGGAGGAGGCCTGAGTGAACTGGTCAGGATGAACTCTCACTGTCCAGTTTTCTTACATACTCTTTTCTTTAAATTGTAAGATTATCACTTTTGTGAAGACACACACCCACAGTGACTGTGTATCCTTTGTATGTATTGCCTCTCCGTAGACTCCCCACCTTAACCAGCACAGATCTGTAAGAAGGGGGAAGACACAGAAATGTGAGGAGACAATTATAGTACACTGAGACAAATACTATCTCAAAGGGATGTGCCACTGTGTTCCAAGGACCTAACATAATAAGTAGATGTACATATTGCTGTGGAAACATGGTGGGCATGGGGATATGGGCCACAACACTGTCAGAGATTGGTGTCAGGAAAGGCTCCTGAGAAGTCAAGCATGGAACTAGATCTTGAAGCACGAGGCGGAGTTGTGAGTTTCTGGTCTGGTTCTGCTACTAATGACTGCAAGACATTGGGTAAGTCCTGCCCATCTCTCTTGCCTTCGCTTTCTCATCCAGGCTATGAGGGGCTTACGTGAGCTGTTTAGCAATTTCTTTTCCAGCTTTAAAATTCTAGGCATTAATCTATAAATTTTTGTCAGATCTCTTTCATTATAAAACAGCTGGCTAACCCATTCCCTTAATCTATTTTGTTTGCCTCTTCTTGAACACACTTTTCTCTGCCCCTTTCTTGGAATCCCTGGTGTTAATGAAGGGTTCAGAAACAGGGAAGATGAGGTGAGCCCAAAACCCTCTCCTCTCGTGGCAGTACCTTCTAGCAGCCCAGGGCTTCTTGCCCTATAGCTCCTGACATTCTTGAACAAGATCAATAGGAAACCATGAAAGTCTTTTCACAAGTTTCATCCTATGAAAGGTCAGGGGTAGCCATAGCCACCACCAGTGAGTTCCCTTTTCCTGCTAATTAAGCTCATGCAATTTAATTTAGTTTTCCATTAGTTACTTAGGGTTCTTAGTCAATGGAAATATAATTTTGTGGTACTGAATACAGCTGAAAATTGGTGGGATGTTGATAAAGGACTAGAAGAGCTTTTGGCTATGCTGTGTAGATTCTCACTGGAATGACTTCTGTTGCTTAATGTACTGGGAGACCCCCTGCTTTAAGTCAGAGACCTGAGTTTGACCCCGGGCTCTGCCTCTTAACTAAAAACTTGAACAAGTCACTTTACTTCTGATGACCTCAGTTTCCTCCTCTATAACGTAGGAATAATAGCACCTACCCTGTCACTTGTGAGATTTGAAGTAGATAATTGATCTATGAGAGCTTTTTAAATGAGACAGAGCTAGTGGGGAATGGAGCTGGGTCAAGGATTGGATAGACTTTTCTTATCCTGGAGGTTAGGGCAGGCTGAGGCCCCAGGGGAGTCCCAGAGGTTGATAAGATTAGCTACTTTGCTAGTGCTGAAATTTTCTTTTTTCTGTGTTTTGAGGAGAACTCCTGGCATGTGGGGGCAGAATTGGCTTGCTTCTTGGAGTTCTACTTCTAAAGGAATCACAGGGTTTCTGGGCAGGAACTGAAGAAGTTCAGAGCTTGGGGAAAAAAAGATACCTGGGTAGAGAGGACACCCTCTTATGCTCCAAACACTACAGAGTAAGTTTGTTTCTCCTGTGGATGGATTAATAATCACAGCTATCTGTTAGTAACAATAATGGTTGCTATTTGTTGAGCATCCATTATCGGTATGCAGTGTTTTGGAAACTTTCCTACCCAAGTGTACATGACATCAGAGGTGAATGAATTCATCCCTGGATCAATAAGGGAATAGCCCAGAGCAAGTACTCCAAGGTTAAAATTTATTTGGAGTCTATGTCTTATCTTCAGAATTCATATGAATTTTACCTTAAGTCTCCATTATATAGTTCATGATTGTTTTCTATAAAACAAATACTTAAAGGGTTTACCATCTGGTAACATTAACATTCTGTCACAGTGCACCATATTTGTTCAGTGCGTTCATGTACACTCTAGCATGTTGTTGAATGCCCACAGGGGTTCCTGTACCCAGTTTGAGAACTGTGTCACCATTATTTTACTTAATCCTTATTATCTGAGTTTTAATAGATATAGACACAAGTTAAGAAAGATGGAAAGACTTGTCCCTGTCACAGAGCCAGAAAGTAGCGGAGCCAGAATCAGGTCTAAATTTGGATGCTCCAAGCTCTTAACCATTCAACTATATTATTTACCGCCTTGTAATTGTTCATATTTCTGTAACGCTCATTGCTTTTGCAGGTAGTTACTGTCCTCAGTGCTTAACACAGTGCCTAACACAAAATAAACTCTCCGTGAATATTGATTGGTTGAATGAATAAATGACTAGATGATCAAGCCCTAAAAATGAAGCCTTTTCAGGGGCCCATAAGTCCCTGGCAAATTGACCTCAGAGTTTGGAATAAATGTGTTTTGTCCTGAGACCCTTCTCTAAAGCAGTGATTCACAGTTAGTTCTAAGCCAGCGCTTCCACACAGATATCATGGTGGTGATATTTGCAGAGAACTCTGGATAAACTGACAAGGCTGCCCAGGAGCTCCTGTGCCCCGCTTCCTTCCCAGACACCCTAAATGCTTAAAGAATCAGTGTCTCAATTCACCTGTAGCCCATTGACAGCTCCTAAGCTACCATGGATGGTGTCTTGGAATTATCTGATCTTTGTCTCCCCATCCCCCCAGAATACACTTAGCCACCACTCTCTCTATATATATACTTGTATCATTCACCTCTGATATTACTGTTATGAGCACAGGTGTGTTATGGAAAACACTGAGAGTGATTCTTTTAAAGGTTTTTTTTTCTTCATAGCAGCTGGTGGTAAGTAGTCTGTGCACACTTTGGGAGACCGGTGAACCTCCACTGCAGACTTCTCCTGTCTTCCAGAGTGTGTTACCTGGAGCTTCTAGGAGAATTGCTCTTCTGAAAACTCACAGGCATTGCCCAGTGGCCTGAGGCATTTGGAATCTGGTCCTTGGTTAAAGAGAAACCTGGGGGCCGGCCCCATGGCCAAGCAGTTGGGTTCGCGTGCTCCGCTTTGGTGGTCCGGGGTTTGGCTGGTTCGGATCCTGGATGTGGACATGGCACTGCTCATCAGGTCATGTTGGGGTGGCATCCCATATAGTGCAGCCAGAGGCACGCACGAGTATACACCTATGTACTGGGGGGCTTTGGGGAGAAGAAGAAAAAAAAAGATTGGCAACAGATGTTAGTGCAGGTGCCAATGTTTAAAAAAAAAAGAAAAGAAAAGAAACCTGTAGAAACCTGTCACTATTGGCTTTTAGAGGGTTTTGCGGGGTGGCAGGGGGACAGGTGAGGGAGGGTTGTTTTTATTTTTGTTTTTTAAAAAAGAGGCTATATACAAGATGAATATCCTGATATAGCAAATCTCTTCTTAGGGTTGGAGAGATTTTTTCAACATTTGAAGGTGGCCAGTTGTGGGTTTTCAAAGTCTCCCTGACTGATTGATTTATACATTATAGCAGTGTCGTCGTCGTCATCTCCTTCTTCTTCTTCTTCTTCTTCTTTTTGGTGAGGATTATTGGCCCTGAGCTAACATTTATTGTCAATCTTCCTCTTTTTGCTTGAGGAAGATTGTCCTTGAGCTAACACCTGTGCCAATCTTCCTCTATTTTGTATGTGGTATGCCACCACAGCATGGCCTGATGAGCAGTGTGTAGGTCCTTACCCAGGATCTGAACCCATGAACCCCAGGCCACCAAAGCGGAGTGCACGAAGTCAACCGCTACGCTACCGGGCTGGCCCCATCGCAGTGTCTTCTAAGTGTTGTCTCCAGACTTAGGAATGTGTTAGAGATGCAAATTCTTGGGCCCGACCCCAGACCTACTGAATCAGAAATGCTGGAGGTGGTTCCTCGCAGTCTGTGTCTTCACAAGCTCCCTAGATGATTCTGATTCTCGTATCTGCCATTTAGTCTATGTTCAGTAATAGGCCTTCTCTTCTCTCCCAATTCTGTGAGCTTCTCTAGGAATCTTGCCATCGTGAATGTCATAATTCCTCTGGGAAATAGCCTTTGAGTTACAAACAGCTTTAGAAACAGAGGTCATGTGTCAGCTATGAGATGTGTGTCAGCTCTGACAGAGGGGTAGCTGGCCTCTTCTCAGAGAGATTGGGAGGTCTGAGAGCAGGCAGCTCTACACCCTAGACACGAGAATAGAAGCTACAGTTTTCAGGAAGATAGCCAATAATCCTATCATTTTCCTTGCACATCTTATAAAAACTAAATAATTGGCGCCAAAAATTGGCTTTAAAAGGACTCATGTTGGGTGAGGTTAAAAGTGTGATTACTTGAAAATAGCTCAGCTGGTGGGGAAAGTACTTGAATTTAAGTGTCTAAATCAGATTTTTGCTATTACTGCTCTCAGCAGGAGAAGAGGCAGAAAAATCAATAGTACTTGATCTTGTTTAAGCTACCAAACCATGCTTCTTGTTACCTCCAAAGGTCTCTGGCTGCCAGGGAGGAGCTTGGGCCTTCACTGTCACCACAAGTGCTGTCACAATTGTAAGTTTATGCTGAATTTCTTGAACTCGGTTGTCTTGGGCCTGCATGGCAGGAGGCCTGGAATCTTTGTGATACCTTAAGATAGGTAGGGGTGAGCAGCCCAGACCTGACTCCAGACCTTCTTTCCCTCTTCCCTTCTTAGGGTGGACCCTGAGCTGGGAGAACTGAATTCAGCAATGCAGACAAGAGGGCTGGGCACAGTGTCCAAAAGGGGTGGCCTGTTCCTGAGCAGCTGTGTTATGATTTAGCTTACTGGCAATCCTGAGTTTCCAGGGGAGCTTGGGGCCTTGAGGAGGTAGGCTGAGTGATTATAATCATTTTCATCATTTGAGTATGCATTCCCTACCACATGTCCAGTGCGAGGTGTTTCTCATATAGCTTAGTGGTTAAGTCTGCCTAGTTTTGAATTTTAGCTCCATCATTTGATTACTGTGTATCACTTATAAATGCCTGAAGATGCTACTGGAAGACTTGACTAATGGTAGCTTAAACAAATAGGAGGGGTATTTTTTTCAAATATAAAGAAGTCTGGCGGTCAGGGGCAGGTGGCATTGATCTGTTAGGTCAGTGATTTCAAGGCCAGTATCCCCTGACTCTTTTGGCCTTTCCCTGTTAATCTAAGATGCCTGCCACAGCTGTAAGCATCATGTCTGTGATCGAGGTAGGAAAAAGAGGGTGTAGGACAACATCAGTAACGTTTGTCCTTTTACTAGGAAAGCAGGGCTTTCTCAGATTCCCCCAGCAGGCTTCTGTGTGTATCTCATTGGTCAGAACTGGGCCACCTGGCTTCTCCTGAGTGTTAGGAGGGCTGGGAAAGTGAGTATTTAGCTTTTCTAGCCTTAATAGTCCAAGGGCAGAGAGGGTTGGGAATGAGCTTTGGGTTAGCCAGCCCATGGTCTACCACCGTGACCTGGGTGAGTATATTAGCTTCTTTTTGGTTTCCTCATCTGTAAAATAACCATAATAGTAGAACCTATTTCATGAAGGGGTATGAGGATTAAATGAAATCAATGTAAAGTGTTTAGCATAATACTTGACACATAATAAGTAGTAATATTGTTTTTATTACCAGCATTATTATCTCAACCCTGCAAAGTTAGTGTTATCTCATTTTACGTAAGAGGAAGCTGAAGCTCAGTGAGTGGAGGTGATAACTTGCTTGAATTCACAGAGTTTGAAATGGCAAAACTGGGATTAGAGCCTATATCCGAATCCAAAATCCGTGCTCCTTTTTCTGCACTGGGAGTTGAGTTAGCAGGGGAATGGTGATTAGCTGGTTAGTCTGTCTTGGCCAGACCCAGAGTATCAGCCACAGGCTTAGTGATTAGGGAAGGAAGGAGATTAAAAACAATAGGTTTGGACAGTGAGAAGCCCCTGTCTGGGACATATAAGGACAAAGAGAAACACAGCTTAAGGAGGCATCGCTGGACTGATACTAGATCTACCAAATTGGGAGATGAGTATTTGAGAAAAATGGAAATATAATTTGATAAGAACTATAAGAGAAGCCAGTTATGGGAGTAATCAGAAGGGACCCCTAATCTAGCTTGGAAGGAGGAAGGTCAAGGAAGACATTTGGGAGAAGGAAATGAAGTGAAGAGCAAGGGAAGGGCAATCCAAGCATTGAGGACAGCCTGAACAGTGACAGGGAAACCGAATGTTGAATGGAGTATGCTAGAACAGCTGTGTGTTTGGGGTTGGTGAAGTGTAAAACACCAGGCCAGGATTGGCAAGAGAGGAAATAGGACATCTAGATGGCTAGGAGCTCAGACTTAGAGGGTCCTTAATGCCATGCTAAGAAATTTGGAACTTTGTCCTTGGCAGTAACCTTTATCCTTGTTTGGATACTTGTTTGGAACTTTATCCTTGGCCACCAGAGACTTTTAGGCATAATGGATAGATTGGCGTTTTTGAAAGATTTCTCTGGGCGTTTGAGGAGAATGGATTGGAGAGCGAGAAAATGGAGGTCAGAAGACAAGTTAGGAGGCTCTTAATGTATTTCAGTCAAGAGCCCTGAACTAGAGTTGGTGTTTGGGATGGAGAGGAGAGGACATATTTGAGACATTATGAGAGAGAGATGTGTCTAGTATACAGTAGACATTCAATATTTGTGGAATCTGAGTGAATAAATGAAGACTTGATGTTGGATTTGAGGAGTGAGAGAGAAGGAAGGATCTGGACTTATCCTAGGCTTCCTCTGGCTTAGGTGACAGGTTGCTTGATTATGCCTTTTACTGAGTTTTGAGACCAGCATGTGTCAAGGAGCTTTCCTTTTATGTTTCTCAGGTAATTTTCTCATAATCCTTGGGGAATCCCCCTTTTTCCTAGCGCTGAGATTTCTAAACTTAGTACATCTTGGTAATTAGGGGGCAAGATAATACGATTCCCATTTTACAGGTTTGGAAACAGGTGTGGAATAGTTACGTAACTTGCCTGGGATCATCCAGCTACTCAGAGTGCGGAGATGTTCTTTCCTCTACAGCATGTTGCCTTTGTGTAAGACTCTTGAACTTCCTGTTGTAATTTCAACTGATTATAGGCTATAATAAAACAAGCAATAAAATTCAGAAGATTAGATTGATCTAATTACTCAGCTGTTAAGATGGGGCCATGAGTTAATCGTAATTCAGTGCACCTAATTCAATCCAACAGAGTGTACAGCATCATTTGCATTATACCAAGAAAGCGCTACTGACACCTCCTTAGTATTAAAAGAAAAAAATTAAGCAACTCATAGAAATAGAATCCACCACCCCCCTACCCTTATTCTTCTTTATCAGATAATCTGGTTTCAACTTTAACTGTCTCTTATATAACCGTGAGCAAATTACTTAACCTTGCAGAGCCTCAGTTTTCTCCTGTAAAAATATGGGAGATGTTCATTTAGCAGTAGCTGTTATTATTATTTTGCAAACACACAAACGGAGACTTGGAATTTGATAAGGATTTTAAGAGTCTTGCCCAGGTCACACGGTAACCTAGTGGCAGATCTATACAAAAAAATGTGTTGAAATGGAAGCATTTTCTGGGGTTCTTTGACCTAAGACACGTTCCATATTTCAGTTTATTTAAAAACCCAGTCCTGGTGTGCATGTCATACCCGTTTCCCACCTCTTTCCCTTAGGACCTTACCAGTGGGCTTACAAATCTCTTGTAACATCAGCTCTTTAAATTTGTAGGGCCTCAAAAGAGTTTTTAGCACATTTTTTCATACAAGTAGAAAATCTGGGTATCTGGATTCTAATCCTGGCTCTGCCTGAAGGATGAGTGGCAGTTATTTGGAACAGGGAAAATGTCTAACATAGGAGATTAATTGAACCTACCTGAGTGTCCAATAATACCATTTTCTGGTTTCTTTTGTTGTTGTTCCTCATTTCCAAAACAATATGTGCTCATTTTAGAAAAACCAGAAAATACTAGATATAAGGAAAACATAAAAAACATCCATAAGTCCCCTGATCCAGAGACAATCGTTGTTAATACTTTGGTATATCTTTTCTTCTAGATCTTTTTAAATGAAGATGTATACACATTTTTCAACAAAAATGAGATTGTATGCTATATACTATCCTGTAACACCTTAATTTATTTAAGGAATTATGAGTTGTTGGGTCATTTAGATTTGTTTCAGATAATGCCCTGTTACTAGACATTTAGGTTGCTGTAACTTTCACTATTAACCAGTAGCACAAAGCAGAAGTAATAGACTGAAAATAAATGAGAAATAAAAATGCAAAAATATGGGGACACTTTTATTTACAAATTTTTAAAAGGAACAAAAATGCTTTAAAATGAATAAAAGATTGTAAATACCCATATACACACAACCGTATACAAAAATTACTAATATTCAAAGCATAGTGACTCATTCAATGTTTCCACAAAAAGCCATGCTGACTAGGAGCTTACCTTTGTCCTGCTGTGCTTGGCCAAGTGACAATAGGCCTAATCTCCTACAGCCATGTAAGGGATAGGGAAAGGCAGGAGATAAGGGATATGATTGAGGATCTAGAAGATTTTCATTAAGTAGTCTTAAAATCTTTGGGCAAACACAACAGTTTCCTAAAGGGAACTTTTAAAGAAAGGGAAGGGGTGGGGGACTAACATTTATTGAAGTGCTTCCCTATCTGTGCCAAGTCTTTATTCTAGGTATTTTGCATGCTACCTCATTTAATTTTCTAGCCTACAGTATAGGATATCCCTGTGTTCCTGAGGCTCAGATAAAGGGATTTGCCTAAGACTTCATGCCTAGTAAGTGGTGCAGCTGACTTTTGAATCCACATTTGCCTGCCTTGAGAGCCTCTATTCTTCCTACTGGATTATGATGGCTCCCACAGGATGGCCAGAGCAGGAAACTCCTCTTGACTCTCAGTAGGAATGTTTAGATGAGTCTCTACAAAGCAGGTCCAGGTCTGCCCTGCTTACATCCCTAGCCAGCCCACATGCAGGAGAAAGAAAAAGAGGCACCGGTCCTGACATAGAGTGAGTACTCAAAAAATGTTTACCAAACAAATACATTAATGATTGTGTCTATTTTCAAAATACCAAAACTGAGACTCTGAGAGTTGAAGTGATTTTCCTAAAGTCACAGAGCTAATAAGTAAAAGAGCAGGGACTTTAATCTAGGTCTGCCTATAAATGAAGCTCTTGCTGTTTCTGTAACACGGGACAGTTTGTCTCAGGTTGACACCTGCTCTCAATGTCCACAACAGTGTTCCTTGTTTGAATCAACAGTAGGGGAAGGTACATAGCCTGAGCACAAGTAACATTCTACTTACTATCTCTTTTGTAACTAACTTGGAGTTGCAGCAGCCTCTCCAATCCACATAAAGGACATTGATGAAAAACCCATGACTAGCGTCATACTTAATAGAAAAAGACTGAATGCTTTCCCCCTAATATTGGTAACAAGGCAAGGATGTCCATCGCACCACTTCTATTGAACGTTGTACTAGAGGTTCTAACCAGGGCACTTGGGCAAGAAAATGAAACAAAAAGTC